AGCAGGAATATGAAGCGGCCTGTGATCATTGGTGGGGAATTTAAAAAATCGGTGTTCGTATTGCCTTTTATTCCTGTAGATGGACAGTAATTTCTGGCATACACTGAGGATTGCCATTGACTAAAATGGTCTGATGAAAAAGCAACTCACTGGAGCATAAAAAATTAGATATTTTAAACTTTAAAAATTCTAACTCTATACTTTTCTTTTTAGAGAAGAACCAAAGATGATACTTGGAAAGAAGATGAGCTCAGAAAACACCTTTGGGTAATATATTTTAAAGATTTGGGAAAAAAGATTTGAGTTGGGGTCTGTTTGGACCCTGGATGGTAATCTTGCACAGTGTTACCGGGTTCTCAGCTCTGCACAACTTTGCTTCCGTGTGGCTCATTTCAGAGGTGGTTTGACTCAGAGATAAAGCCATGTGGTTAATTGCTCTGGAACCCTCTTGGATCGGGTTTTCCGTCCCAGTTTGGCCCAGCATTCCACCAGTCGGGTTCCTGTCAGCGTTCAGAGCTCGGGCCTTGTGAGTGTGTGAGTGCATGTGCGTGTGTGTGTGCGGGGCTGAGGGGTTGCGATCAAGACCTCCTGAGAGGGGGCTTCCCTGGCGGTCCGGCAGTGTTTCAGACTCCGTGCTTCCAGTGCGGGGGGGCTCGGGTTCGATCCTTGGTCATGGAACTAAGATCCCGCATGCTGCGCAGCATGGCCAAACAAAAGACCTCCTGAGAGTTTCCGACAAGGGTCCTTGTTCCTTGAGGGGGGCCCCGGCGGATAGTGTCCTGGAGACTTTCCCGCACAGCCTCAGCGCCCCTTTCTTTTCTTTCTGACCCACGTAGCGCTTTAGGTTTGATCTGCCAGCACACGGGGACGTCCTTGTAAGTGGGCGCCTCGCCAAGCACGGGCTGCCAAGCTGAGCCCGCTTCTGCGGGTTCCAGAGTCTGCGTCCCGGCCCATCGTGCCGGGACGGGGAGCAGTTGCCGCCAGCGCTTCTTAGGGCCCTGCAGTGAGTGTGAGCCTGGGTTCAGAGCCCCGTTGACCTTCTCTCGCACAGGCCGCTCCGTCAGCCAGTCCCACGGAAGAGACGAGGCCCAGAGCCAGGAAGCCGCGGAGGGAGTCAGAGGCGGACCGGGCGGACCGCAAAGAGCGCAGACCCAGCGCCCCAGACCGTGACGCCGAGTACAGAGAGAGCGCGGCCGAGGGGGACGGCCAGGCTGCCGGGGGGCGACCCCGCGGGGACAGGGCCAGGGACAAGCCGCGGGATAGCAGGAAGGACAGGGGCCGGCCACAGGAGAAGCACCGGGAGCGGGACGCGGAGAAGCCCCACGGCCGAGCGAAGGAGCGCGAGAGGAGCCGGGCGCAGCCGGAGGAGCTGCGGCAGGTGGCCGCGCACCCCGGCCGGCTGGGCGGCGACCGCGACCGCGACAGGGACCGAGACAGACCTGAGCGCAGGCGGGCAGGTCTGTGACTCGGGGGCACTTTTCTCCTTGGAGGTGGCCCCTCCCCGCGTGTTTTCTCTCCTGGCTTTTATGAAGGTCTCGGCTTTGGCTGTGAAGTCAGAGGCCCCGGTGGTGCACGCGTGTGCACTTTGCACTCTTTTCTTTCGGGTTTTTTTAAAACTCATTTCAGTGAACAAAAGGAGTCACAGTTTTCTCATGATTTGCTGGAGTTTTACCATTGAAATATATTTTAGGTTAATTACCTCAATAGATCGCAATCCACGTTGTAAATAAACAAAAATAATGCTCTTTGACAAAAATAATTCCTCAAAAGTGTCAGATTTAAGCCGTATCTAAATATTATTTGTCCAAATTCCTAGGAATTCTAAGGTAGAGGTACATAACTTTTTCCTCCCCCAAATGGAAATAAGTATCTTCATTATTTTTTATTATGTAAATAGTGTCTGCTTCCTATAAAAAAATTCAAACTAGCCAACATAAACAAAAAAGGAACATATGAGAAGAGCATGTAGTGACTCTCAGAATCCTCAGGCTGTGAACACGATGGGACTAGGACCTCGGTTTGTGGTCCCTGTTGGAGTTTGTCCCTCCTGTGCAGGGGCTCAGGCCCCGAGGACCTGAGTGTGCATCTCTGCCAGGCTGAATGCTGGGGCAGAGCTGGGGTTAAGAGGGTTATCGCTAATTAAGTTTAACACTGACTACCTTACTATCCATTGCCTCTCTTTAGGATTATTATTTTTATGTTCTTGGTATTTTTAAATTTAATTTAATTTTTTATTTTTAAAATAAATTTATTTAGTTAGTTAGTTATGGCTGTGTTGGGTCTTCGTTGCTGTGCACAGGCTTTCTCTAGTTGTGGCAAGTGGTGGCTACTCTTCGTTCCTCCACGTGGGCTTCTCATTGTAGTGGCTTCTCTTGTTGCGGAGCATGGGCTCTAGGCACATGGGCTTCAGTAGTTGTGGCACATGGGCTTCAGTAGTTGTGGCACATGGGCTCAAGTAGTTGTGGCACATGGGCTCAGTAGTTGTGGTGCACGGGCTCAGTAGTTGTGGCTTGCGGGCTCTAGAGTATAGGCTCAGTAGTTGTGGCGCACAGGCTTAGTTGCTCCACGGCACGTGGGATCTTCCTGGACCAGGGCTCAAACCTGTGTCCCCTGCACTGGAAGGTGGACTCCTAACCATTGTGCCCCCAGGGAAGCCCGGTACTTTTTAGTAATACAGTCTGTTTTGGTTTCAGATCAGTCCTTTGGTCTGCTGCCTGATCTGGTTTTTCAGTGCAGTGTTGAGTGAGCTGCTCTGGAGACACTCATTGCACAACTAGACTCTGACGGTCCTCCTTCCTCCCCTGGTTGTTTTCGTGCCTCTTTCCTCGTCTCCTCTGTGTCTCCCCTGGATCCCCGGGGCCCTCCCTTCCTTTCTTAGGTCAGAAATCCTGGGGACCATCCTGACCCCCCACTCTTTCTCTTCCAGTCTCTTGGAACCCAGCCCTTCACTCCTGTGTCCCCCCAAGGGAACCCCCACCGGTTGTTTTGATCTTGTGTACCCCAGGCTCCTAGAAAGTGGTCAGGTTTGGTGAATACTTTTGTTTTTTTGTTTTTTTAATAAATTTATTTATTTATTTATGGCTGCACTGGGTCTTCGTTGCTGCACGCAGGCTTTCTTTAGTTGCGTCAAGCCGGGGCTACTCTTCATTGCGGTGTGCGGGCTTCTCATTGCGGTGGCTTCTCTTGTTGCAGAGCACGGGCTCTAGGTGTGCGGGCTCCAGTAGTTGTGGCACGTGGGCTCAGTAATTGTGGCTCGCAGGCTCTAGAGCGCAGGCTCAGTAGTTGTGGCGCACGGGCTTAGTTGCTCCGCGGCATATGGGATCTTCCTGGACCAGGGTTCGAACCCGTGTCCCCTGCATTGGCAGGCAGATTCTTAACCACTGCGCCACCAGGGAAGCCCCTGGTGAAGACTTTTGGAGTGAATGAACTTTGTTTCGATGATCTCTGTATGTTGAAGTTTGTCCTCACCTTTAAAAATGTGGATTCTTTTAGTTTTAAGCCTAATAACTTGGTGCAAATTAAAAAATGAAAGTCTAGTTTTTCACTACTGAATGGGGCTGCAGGCGTCACCAGTGACTGAGGTGGCTCTATTGGGTTCCCCCATGGCAGGGAGAGATCATGGGGTGGGGTGGGCGCACCCCCCTGCATCACAGGGCCTCCTGCATCCATGTGCCCCAGGCAGCAGGGCTGTGGGAGACCCGGGGCGGGGTGCAGTCCCCCAGTCATCCGAAGCCGGCTTTTCCCTGCAGATGAATGAAGCAGTCTGCCCAGCTGGACTGGACTTTGCTTCCCTGAGCATCTCAGTCCAGGGCAGGAGCTCCAAAGGCCTGTGTTTGGGCCTGGGCCCCTCTCGGGTTCCCAGGCATTCCTCTGACATGCTTTCCAGGTTTCCTTCTTCTTTATTCCATTTTAAGTTTAGATTCTAGAACTTTCCATTCTTGAGATTGGAGAATGTTTTTATTAAAGAATATGTTTTCATATGTGTTACTGTGTGATATCTACAGTAAAGACTGCAGCAGGATGTTAGAAGATATTTTTGCTGTGCTAAAGTTTGAGAATGTTAAAAGTCCGTTTTATTTTTGTAGTAAGTAAAGCAAGAATTGCAGAGGGGGAGCGGAGAGATGAAGACTCTGAGAGAGGAGATGAGGAGAGAGAAAGAAGATACCGAGAAAGAAAGGTACTCAGGGCGAGGCCTGGGCGGGGCTCCAGCTGCAAAGCTCAGGGCGCTCAGGCAGGGGCGTTAGAGGGCTTCTGGAAAATACTGTAAAACAGAATCTAAGACCTAAGACAGTTCTCAGGCACTAAGTTCTCACAGGCAAGTGTGTTTCTCCAATTCCAAGAGTAAACCTTGGTTATCTTGGAAACTTTACAAAATGCAAATAATAATAAGAGAAAAAATAAAAAACAGAGATAATTACTGATAATGTTTAGATATATGTCCTATAGGTTTATGTACATGTATTCATATAAGTGTATGTGTTTGGATATGTACATAGAAACTTTATTTTCTTAAGTTGGATTTTTACTGTTTTATAACTGTTTTTACTGTTTTATAACTGTTTTAATACATTTTGAGCATTTTTTCTAAGCGATCATACCTGTCTATAGTATTTTAATGCCTGCATAATACAGTATTCAATGATGTTTTCTGGACACATCTGCTTTTTTTTGGATATTTACGTTGCTTCTAAATTTTTTTGTTATTGTAAAGACATCCATGGTGTAAACTTTTTGCATTTATTCATAATTATTTCCTTATGGTTAATTTCTGGAAGTGAACTTGCTAGATCAAAGTAAGTGTTACCCCATTTGTTTTACATTAGACTGTAATTGTTCATACATCAGAGTGTGATTCCCCATGTCCTAAGCAGCAACTGGGCATTATCATAATTTTTAACGTTTGCTAATTTGATTCAGAAGCAGAGGGTATTTTTTAAAAATACTTATTTTTATTTATTTATTTATTTGGTTGTGCTGGGTCTTAGTTGTGGCAGGTAGGCTCCTTAGCTGTGGCTCGCTGGCTCCTTAGTTGTGGCATGTAACTCTTAGTTGCGGCATGCATGTGAGATCTATTTCCCCGACCAGGGATCAAACCTGGGCCCCCTGCATTGGGAGCACAGAGTCTTATCCACTGGACCAGCAGGGAAGTCCCCAAAGGGCATTTTATAAAAGGGTTTATTGTCCTATTATTAGTTACTACCTGTGTATGTCTGCATACTTGTCTAATGGGGTGTATTGTTAACTTTAAGAGTACTTTCAAGGTGAACTCCCTGCTAGTTATATACGTCAGTGTTCTGTTTGTTTTGCTGTGCAGTCGTTATTTTTATGAGTAAGTTTAAAGTTACGAAGTAGTCAGGTCTGTCTTTCCCTATTT